TGTCACACAATTACCTTTGAGTTTTCTCTCTCTCAGCCACCCCACCATCTTCCCTGAAATGTCTATTTGCAGTGACACCATCTCATGCTGCAGTTCCACTTCTTTGTCCGTCAGACTTGCTCAGCCTGATGACAAAAATAAGCAGCTACTTGCATCAACACCTTCCTAGCAAAGCAGAACCAATGTAGGTAAAATGTGATGACTGAGGAATTTTAGTCCATTTTGTGCATTGACAGCAATTGTTTGCTGAGTTCTGGTCAATTCCGCTTAAAAGCAGTGAGGCTGCACATGCATCAGGAGAGCATAATTTGAAGACAATAGGTAGCAGGAGTTTATAAGTCTTTAGTCAGTGTACAGAACCTTCTCTGCCAATGATGAGAATAAAATGGAAGGTGCCCATGCCTGACTTTTAGAGCAGGCAGGGAGCACGCAGGTTCAGATCCTCTAGGGCTGGTAGTCAGAGTGTGTAACTCAAGAGAGAATGGGAAGAAAAGAAGAGGACAGGACAGGACAATGGCTTTTTCACAGAAAACACTTAAGACATTAGGGCATAGGCTTAGTACTCGAATGGTGTAGGTTCAGCTCCATTTTCTATTGGATACTCCTTTGATGACATAAGCCAAGATACTCAGGGCCGTATTTTAAAGGGTAGGGTTAACCAGAGGTAGAGTCAAATACCCACAGTGACTTTTCAAAGCCTAGGTCCCATAAAGACTGGTGGGAAATACGAGTTTTGTTTTGCTAGTTAACTTTAAATGCCTGAATAATTTTGAAGAATTGGACGCTAATCTTACTAGATAGCCATTCTTCATTGACACAGAAATCTTGTCTGCCTGGGGAAGTGTTGTGAGGATAAGCATGCAGCATGCTGTATATTTTAAAATAATGGGGAGCCTTACACATTCAGAGCATGTTCTGTTGCAGAGTAATAACTAAGAGAAAATGATAGATAGCCCTGAAACAACTAATTTTCTCAACAGCCCAAATCTAACATGGAGGGATATGCAGCACTTGGTAGTGTGGACCTCAGAATACGATCCACTGGCTGGAAATCCAGGATGGAAAAAGAATGGAGCAGGACTGATGGTCAACAGCCGATTTGGGTTTGGACTGCTCAATGCCAATGCATTGGTAGATTTAGCTGATCCCAGAAGATGGAAAGGTGTACCAGTAAAGAGAGAGTGTATTGTCAAAGACAAAAGCTTTGAACCAAGGTAAGAATTTGCATTAGCAGTTACTAAGCTTATGTCTATCTTAGTAAAGCCTGAAGGATAGTATTGTGCACAGATTGCTCTAGACCAGGCTAAGATTTGTTCTGATTCATTTGGTTTTGCTTTACTGTACTCCTCAGGGGCAGGCAGGGAGCGTTTGCTTGCTTTTTAGTGTAGGACTGATGGAAAGTACTAGCATGAAGCCTTAGCAAAGAATAAGACTGTTGTTAATGCCTCTCTGTGCAGCTAGCATATGGATGGATGATACTGTGAGACTGAACCTATCAGATAAGATACGAATGTTTAGACCACTATCAGAAGATGAATAATAAGATACCGAAGTCTTCCAGGGATTTTTTTTTTTTAAATATGTAATCAGTCTTAGCCACTCTTCTCCTCTGACAGGCATAGTATATGTTGAAATCAAGGTGGTATATTGAGCTTTAGTCCCATCCATAGCGTGTCTCTTACAAATCACAAGTGTCTCAGAGGCTTACTGAAAAGACTTACCAGCCACATTCACAGGTGCTCCCTGCATAGTGAGCCTAAACTGAGCTCAGCGTACAGGTAAAGTTGTAGTCACTAAGCTGGTTAATCAATAAGGATATCTAGGCTGTTTATGTCTTCACTTGTTCACTTACAGATTTGTTGTCTAGAAAAATACAGCTATTTGAAAGATTGAAATTATCCTGTATGAGTGCTCCAAAGATCTGTCTGTAGAAACATATTACAGTGTTTTGGAGTGTCACTGCTTGGTAACCTTATTATTTATGCTATTTCACTATCAATTTGCTTTTATGAGCTCTTTTTTCCACAGAGTGTTGATCCAGTACTAATGTATGTAATACTTGCTGTTTATGTGTTTTTATTGCAGTTCTCTATGTTACATTATAAAAACAAAGATCCCACGATTCTGAGTTTAGGATTATTTATGAGAAGATTTAGATACCACATTCTCATTAGAAGTAATGGAACTTGTGAGGAGAAAGCGATGCGCAGCAGCTCTCTGTACAGAGAGTGTACAGAAGATGTGAGCTTTTTTTCCTTGATGCGGCATTGACCACAAAGGGTTAAGATGGCTGTGCCTGCTGCAGTACTTTAGCTCCATGATAACAGCTCTTCTGGGTATTTGAATGAGGCAACTAAGCATAAGTCTGGTACAGTCTGTGATGTAGCTGCCTGCAAAGACTGATTTTTTTGTAGTCTCTGTGGGACACCGAAGTGTTGACAGAAACCCTTGATTATCAAACTTGCTTGCCTGCTTCCAAGGTGTGTTGCACACGTCTGTCTTATGCAGGCCCTATCACTTGGTCAGTATTATCTCTGCTTCCAGAACTTCCTGTTGTTTTTGCTGGAGCATTCAAAAAAAGGTTATATATAGAATTTGTCTTCACTTCTTCCTTTCCCATCATTCTGAAATGGGTATTAAGTGTGTCATTTGCACTTCACATAATGATCCAGAATCAAAAGTTTCTGTGAGTAATCAGAGAACTCCTGTAATTTTGCCAGATTATTAAGAGCAAACGAGGAAGTCATCATTGAAATTCCCACAAAAGCCTGTGAGGGTCAAGAAGACTCCATTGCGTCTCTGGAGCATGTGCAGCTTGAAGCAACGATTGAGTATTCCCGTAGAGGTGATCTTCACGTCACTCTGGTATCCCCATCAGGTACAGGAGGCAAAGACTGGCTTTGTCTGTGTTGCTGTACGGTGTAACATTTATTTCATTAAAAACCACCTCTGTGTCTTCAGTGGTTTAAAAGGAGCTAAATATATCATTAGACAAATCTGATGACCTCCAACAGGAGAGTGTGAGGATAAAGCATCCTGGGAACTAGAGAACTGGTTCTCTGAAACCATTTTTCAGCTTTCCTGGGTTATTTTTGTGAGAGGAGGTTTGAAAATCATACTTCAGAAAACGAAGGCACTGTTTCTAGTGTGTTTTTGTTCTGACAACAGGACCTATAAAAGCTGAGAGTTCCTGGCAGATCACAAATTATAGTTCAATAGTGCTTATCAGCCTTTCTGTGATTTAACAAACTAATAGGAACCTGAGGAGGTCTGACTCCCTGGACTTCATGTAACTGTGTCTCCCCATTGGTGTGTTTAAAAACACAGAACACAGTGTCTCTGTTAGGCACCTTATTACAGCTAGACTAAATGTGGTAGAATATGGCAAGCTTATCTTGACATTGCCCTGAAATAGCACCATAAGGAGAAAAAAAAAAAAAAAAAAGAAGAAGAATTATAAACAAAATTGTGGAGAGTAAGATCTGTTAGATCAGCTTGTGTTATTAGGAAAAAAAGACAAGCTTTCAGGTATGAATTTAAACATCAGGCTGATCTAATTTACTGATATTAAAGGCTAATCTAGTAATTCACAGATAATAAACCACTAGAGCCTTCTTCATACCATTATTGCAGGACCACACTAGAGAGCAGGGTTAAGATACTGTACATGCATATAATACTATATTACATATGTTTCCAAATCCTGCCTTGTCTGGGATTCCTTTTAAGCCTAACCTTAATTCTTCCTTTTCTGAGTTTACCTTTTATCTTATGGGAGCAATGTTGCTGTAAGGTGTTTTACCCTTGGCCCTTGGTGGTATTTTCAAATGTAATTTTGTCTTCGATAAGTTTTAGTTTCGAAGTAAGTATATGGGCTGTCTCTAGGTACATCATGGAGATGACAGCAACAGTAGCTCTCATTCCACTTTTATAGAGGTATTTTGCCCCCCAAGACACTCTTCTGTTGCTAATATGTAGGAAGCATGGCTTCATCTTAGAAAAACACCCCTTTTTGAAAGACTGATGACAGTAATATGTTCTTCATCTTTGTACGTATTTCTGTGGGTTTAGCCGAGGTAGCAATAGTCAAGTGCTCCTGCCTCCACTATAGCATCATGTTACCTTCATGGTTAAACTGTTTTTCCCTTGGTTCTTGCTGGTTTTCCACTTTTCTGCAAAACAGTACTACCAAATGGATGTAATTCCTTTTCTATATTTATGGTGTTACCTTTAAATATAATAGTAGCTTGTGATCAGGCTCCCTGGGGCTTCTCTGCTCCTTATTATGTAAATATAGCTCCCTTGCTCTCTTGTTATATGCAAACAAGCACCACAAATTTCCTTCTGTACAGCAGAATCTCCTCTGCTGCAGAAATACCTTGTGAACTGCAGCATTTTTGTAATAATAATAATAACAATGCAAATGCTTTCCAGTCACCAAAAAAAACCCCCAACAAACCAAAATCAGTGATGAATTCAGAATAAGGCTTTAGTTTCACAGTACTGCGTGAGCTGGTTTGCCTTCAAAACTTCCATCTCAGATGTTTCCTGAGCTGTTCATCAGTGGAAAGGATGAGTTGTGTCTGACCTCTGTTTCTTACGCTTCTTTGTGTGCGTCCACTATGTTTTTGTGTTAGAGATTAGAACACTAAGCAAGATGTGCCTTTTTAGCGTGGCGTAATGCGATAGTTTTTATGCTCTTAAGTACTGCTGTGAAAATAATTAAAGAAACCGCTGATCAGAAAAAGCATGTTTCCCGTTCCACAAGCCACTGTTAAATAGTGTATTTGCTGGGTGAGCTACACACTAGATAGTGTGCAAGCTGAGCAATGTGAGAAGTAAAAGCGGGTGTGTATGAACAGTCACTGTTGCTCTTGCACTAACACAGGCACCAGCGCTGTCTTACTGGCTGAGAGAGAGAGGGATAAATCTCCCAATGGCTTTAAGAACTGGGACTTCATGTCTGTTCACACATGGGGAGAGAATCCGAAGGGCACCTGGGTTTTAAGAATCACTGATGTGGTAAGTATGTTGATGTGTTAACTAGCTATGTTTGGAAGTTAACACGTAAAATGATCACAAACCACTGCCAAGCATGTTGAATAGTGAGTCTTCTTGTTAAGCATGCTACAACAAGAGTTTATTTAGACTAAACATCCATCTGGATTAAAGAGTAAAAAAAAAAGATAGGTTCAGATTTTCTTATTCTTTACATAAATGCATAGCACCATCCTCATTTCACTGACATGTATCTGTCAAAAAAATTTCATGCCTGTGTTTTTCACACATTGTATGTCGCTGAAAGAAATCACTTAATAGAGTTTTCTGTGATTCATGGAGTGAAATACGTAATCGAATTAACATATGATTAACTGCAAATTAGGTTTTTCTGCAGAAAAGAACACAGGATAGATGTAGTCTTCTCTCTGTGCATGTGCATAATTTTCAGTAACTCAAAACCTTTTGATTAATGAATTTCTGGTGACCTCGGAGAGCTATTCTGATGTGTACCTTTCCCTAACTTCTTTCTTAGAGTAATTACTACTGAACAACATTTAAGGATTAAAGCCAAGAAATCTGCAGATATGAAATAAATAATTGTGTGCTAAAACCACCTGGGGATATGGATTACAACAGCGAGACACCAGAATAAAGCTGCTTGATAGGCAACTGAAAAATTGTTCTCTTGAAAGAGCGAGTGATCAAGCGCACTTGTCTCTGGAGAATTTCATTGAAGTTGTCTGTTAATAAGCTTGTCATTAGGGGTCAGATCCTGCCAGAAACTGAATGCTTCCTATCAGACACTGAGCCTCCAACCCCTGTTGGCCTCAAATTATAAACAGGAGGATAATGCCAAGTACTAAGCAGATGGACAAGGCAGTAGAAGTAAATATTATTATCAACAGTGTAGTGTTAATACTGCAGGCTTACAGATAACCCCATGGTTACAGATAATCCTGCTCTTTGTAATTAATCTAATGCATTTTTTGGAACAAAGTTCAGAGCAGCATTTTGTTTGTAATTACCTCTCGTTTTCCATTTTCAAATGAGATATTTGTGAAACTTACAATAAACCAAGCTTTTTGTCCTCAAGAGGTAATGAACTCTTTCCTCAGCTTGTAGGGTTTGTAATGCCTGAAAGAAGTTTTCATATTAATGACTCTGACTGAAATCACAGATTCCCGTGCAGAGTTACTCATAATTTAGTTGTTGTGTAAGTTGTGTATGTAAACTTTGGTATAGACTTCTACTAGAAAAGAAGAGCTTCAGCAGCAATCTTCAGTCACTAAAAGACTGAGCAAAAATTCTCAAAGAAGCTTTGGTAAAATAAAATTTCAGCATTCCCTGTACTTGTCTCTTCCACTTTGCGCTATATAAATACTGCCGCCAAAACTAATGGACAAAGCATTTGTTGCTCATTTCCACATGCTATGTTTCAGATTGCTGTTGTACACCACTACAGAATACTATTCCAAATTACTATTCCAATCGTAACTTTTGCGAGGAAGTTGCCAAGGAATGGCTTAATGAACAAATATTAGTAACACAGAATATGACTTAGGTAATTTTTAGCATTCTGTGTTATGACAAAATTCCATTGGTGCTTACATGAATAATTAATAAATATTCATAAAAATGTGAATATTTGGAGTAGTTAAGCTGTTGTATTAAATCCCACTTTCTGATATACCCTATTACTGATATATCAGTCTTTTCGTGCTTATAAATCATTGTCTAAATTTAGATATTGAAAACCTTATAATTTATTTTAGTCACTTCTGTTAATTTATGATCAAGTGTCCTGTTTCCTCTTCTTATGTCCTGAGAACCTATGCTAATGCCATGCTTGTCCTTTAGTCCAGAAGAATACAAAATGAAGGAAGGATTGTAAATTGGAAGTTGATTTTGCATGGCACTGCTACCCAACCTGAACATATGAAGCAGCCACGTGTATACACATCCTACAATGCTGTGCAAAATGACAGAAGAGGAGTGGAGAAGATGGCGGATTTTTTGGAGGTAGTGCTACATTATTTTTTTTTCTTAAGTATTTTTCCATTTATAAGAAAATGGTATTTTTTCATGGTAAGAAGACACATATTCATTCTGTATTCATTTCATCTAGGCCCTGAACACTTCTGAGTTGTGTGTTGTAGTTCTGTCCATATCAACAACTGATATTTTTATTAGTCTCTGTTTTCATATGCCAACATCTAAGGATTTTAGGCTGCTAAGAGGGTATGGCTACTAAGCCAGTGAACTCAATAGCTAATGCAGTTGAGTGGTACAAGGAGGGACGAATACACTTCTGACAGATAGACTGAATTCACGTACTCCTATGAGAACGAGTGTTGCAACCAAAAGGAACTTTGCCTGCTGGAGTGCTTCCAGGGAGTTTGCAAGGAGGTTAGGAACAAAAGACATGGCAAAAGACAGAGACTCGCTGATTCAAAATCTGTTGCTGTTAGCTCCTTTGTCAGCCCTTCTTTACCTTTCAGGTAGAGTGCTCTAAGCATACTCCAGGCTTCTGTGAGTGACAGTGGGTTTCTGGTTGTACAGGATGGCAGTATTGTACATTTTCACAATGCTTGATTATGTCAACATCTTCAGAATACTTTTATTAGTCACATGACATCAATTTGTCTCCCCATTAAGTAATTAGGATGTCCATAAAGTGTCGTAAAGAGAGATTAACTTTCCTTAGCCAGGTTATGAGGGAGACATGATTATGGTCTTTAAATACATTAGATAAGTGCCCGCAGGTGTGGCAGCCATGTGGAGGAAAATAAATGGAAGAAAGCAGAAGTGGATTCAGGAGATACTGTAGGAGAAGATTGTTGGACACAGTAAAAACCAGACAAAGGTAAAATGAGTATTCAGTTAGAAAGACAGTCCTAGTGTAAATGGAGAAGCTATGCAGCCACGTACTACTGTGTCAGTATGGAAGGCGTAACAGACAATGCTGAAATGAAGATCATGCCTCTCACCCACTTCTCTGCACATCTGTGTCTGGCATTAGTCTTTCAAGGTTTCCAAGACACGTGTCGTGGCTACCCGTTAGCCATGCTTCACTGTCTTTTCTCAGGTGAGAGCGTCTACAGAGAAGGTTATATGAAAGCACTGCTTCAGTCCTGTTCGCAAGGGTATGTGGCACGATCAGAGCTGCCATCACCACTGCTTGTACTTCCTTCAGCTAGACTGCTGAGGAGCTGCCTCCCATAGTACAAGCAGAGATACCTCTTAAGACTGGGACAAATCTTGCTATAAAATGACATGTTGTATCCTGCCAATGTGGAATCTGAATTTAGAACTTCCTACATTGTTGGGGAGATTCGATATTTTATACAATATAGTCCTTTTCATAGTCTGTTTTGGTGTATAATGGTCTAGTTCTTTTCTGGCTGCTAAGTGGCTCCTGAATGAAATAAAATAGCATCTGCCCACATAGATGGAAATCAGATCACCTCTTAATCCAGTAATTTTTTCATTGACACCTCACTGAAACATACACTGACATAAAAAAGCCCAAAATGAGCCATCCCAGACCATGGGATGGCATTCCTATCACCTAACTTTGACACCTTTTTTATGCTAATCTCTATTCTAGGACCATACCACACAGGAGAACCTGAGTGAAAAACCCAAAGTCACCGAAGATACCAGTAGCAGCAGTGACAAAGCAGAAGATAAAATCCCCTCAGAGGCTATGCTACATTTATTGCAAAGTGCTTTTAGCAGACAGATGGCTCCGAAGCGACTGCCAAAGAAGACTGCCAGTGAGAAGTTAAATATTCCATATGAACACTTCTATCAAGCCCTTGAAAAATTAAACAAGCCCTCCCAGTTGAGAGACTCGGAAGAAAGTCTGTACAGTGACTACGTTGATCTTTTTTACAATGCCAAACCATACAAGCATAGAGATGATAGACTGCTGCAAGCCTTGGTTGATATTATAAATGAAGGAAACTAAACTGTAGGGAGTGGCACTGAGTTGGAAATATTCATTCTCCCCACCCCACCTGTAGTTTTTTTTTTTCAGAAGTCTGTTGTCTGCTCTAGTTCTGTGATTGCTGCTTTGATTGCTTCATGTTTAGTACAAATATTGAGGAAAGGAAAAAGTAGGTGTGGGAGGATAAGGCAGTAAACGGATGGGTTTTAGTAATAGCTTTTTTCAAAGCCTTTCATCATTACCATCAGAGTAGATTTGCCCCCTCAGGCATGAAATGCAGTAGTATTCCCCTGAAAACCGTAATGCTCCATTTTAAACAATTTTCATGTTACTTATTCTTCCACCCTATTCACTTAACACGCAGTAGGACTCAAACCAAACAGTTTTGAACCAAACTGCCAAAGCTATGGGGAGATGCTCTCATCCCTGGATTTGTAATGAATATTGCAGTCTTTCTTACATTTGGCATTGATTCCAGATTTAACGCTTGCAGCCAGTACTGCTTCCGTCATAGGTTTTTTTTGTTCCTTCTCCAAACAACGATACACCCTTACCCTTCTGTTCTCCCGTAAAGGAGCAGCTGGGAGGCTGGAGTTGGACTGGAGCATCAGTGAACACTGGTGAAGTTTTTCACCATTTAGACTACAGACAGACGTACACTGACATAAGAGCCCTGGATGAGCCTTCCCAGACCGTGGGATGCCAGTCTTATCACCAAACTTTAACTCCCTAAGTGAAGTGCCTGAATTACGAGCCTGGTCTTTCTAGGCTCTGTGTAGTTAATGAAGACAGAGGCTCCTATGGATGGCACTTCAGAGCACTCGGCTGGTCTTTACGCTGGTTCTGAATTACCTGATGGAGAACTGATCTATTGGTATCCACTATATGAGCTTTGGGGACCAGCCTCCTACCTATGGAGCCTCAGTTAGATTTCTAAAGTTAAGTTACATAAATGCCTTCTGGAATGCCTACGTCTGCAGTAGTCAGGACAACAAAGCTGGGATCACTTTATCCTTTCCTAGAGCTGTGACCAAAGTGGGATGGAAAGGGTAACTAACAGCAAGGTCCAGTTAAAGACTGGATCTTGCAGTGGTAGATTGTAACATTTCCCAGGTATCTAGGAAGTTAAGACAAAGTGGATGTCAAGAGGTGTGAGATTAAAAAAATACCCTGAGAAGGGACCCAGAAATGGAAGCATGGAAATGTGGAGGAGGGAGAGGAACAGAAGGAAGGAGAAGGTGGAAGAGGAGGAAACAGAGGTTGCTGTCAAGAAAGCATCAAGGACAGGCAGCTCCCTAACATTGGCAGTATACTAGGCAGTTCTCCACACATACCTCTTTAAAGTCAGAGTCGAAGTTGACATATTATTTTGCTTTTTGTAATTTAAAGAAATAATGCAGTGTTGGAAATTTAAGGGGATCTAGAACAAGGAAACCAAGATTCCCAGGGGATAGTTATCTCACTGCAGTGCTAAAGATAATCCAAACAAGTGCCAACTGGTTTTTATTTTTCTTTCTCTCTCATCTGCAACTGAAATGTGTTTTTCAGACACTCCAGAAATATTTGATTCTCCTTCACTGTCTATTTGTTAAAGTGATGCAAGTGTCTCTAAGACAGGAATTTAGCATTTTGCTTATAATTCATCAGTTCAGATAGAAATTTTTTTCAAACTTCACACCAAATTCTGTAGTTTAAAGGTAAATCTATTTACTGTAACAGTACATAAGTCTTCTTCCGTGGAAGAAGGGACTGCTCTAAAGACAACTTTGAAAATTGTCTTGCCTAACTTAAGATTTAAAAATCTCTGCTTATTCATTCTCTGTGATAGATTCATGCCTATCTTGGGCTTAGTCTGCTTTTTTGCCAGCTTTAAATAGATTTGAAGAATTCTTCCATATTTCTGGTCCGTACTTCAAGGATAACAACGCCACCATTGAATGTCTCTTCTACTAAAGCACTCCCTCTCTACTAAGAAATTTGCTGAGAATGAGAAGTTATTTTAAAAAATCCCTGCAAGTGGTCCAAATCTGAAAGTTTTCTTGTACTGTCCCTTCAACAGGCAAGCTTTTTGGCAATGCATAACTTCTGAATGAGGAAAATGTAAAAATTTCTAATTGCCGCTGTTGCAGAGTGAGAGCACTAACTTTAATGTTTAATTTTCAGAACTGGGAGTTAATCTCCACGATAAATACTCCTGTCTGGTGAGGTTAGGACCACTTTTAGACCTGCCTGATGGACTTCAGATGCTGACTCCCTCAGATAACAGTGTTTTTAAGCAGTCCTCATTCAGCTATGTTACAGCAAGGAAAGTACTAGCAACACTCAATCACCCCTTGAAAGGAGTTTTCAGACTGAACGGGTGGAAAACATAGGACCTTCCTTTGTTTTAAGATCAGTTCCCATGTTGTAGCCATCAGAGGACAAGTTTAAAATCTCTCTTTTGAATGTTTCCAACCCAGAGTAGATTGTACAGGAGTAAATTATTTTTATTGTTAGTCTTTCCTTGGTGCCTGTGTGGGTTTTGTGAAAAATGTAAAAGGAAAAAAAAAAAAGTTTTCTCTCAGAATTTTAAATTATATTTTCGTTACAGGTATTTATAATATAGCAAAGATTTTATTGAACAGACAGAATTTTAAAAGGCATAATAAATTATATTGAAGAACCAGATTTTTCTTGGGAAAGAGACGATTTCATCTAATAAAGGTATTTTTTAAAAGGCATGTTCCAACAGCAACCGCAACATGTATGTGATGTGATGTTAAAATTTGTCTACTAGTAGCATAATACAGTGTGTTAGCAGAGCTCAGTGTGTGGTCTTAACATTTGTAAAGAAAAAAGTAAGATAAAGTCAAGCTATTGCCTCAGAGGGACCGGGAAATGCAGTTTAGAATTTAAAAATGATGGCTTGAGGAAATAACCAGGGATTGGGTGGAGAAAATGTGTAATTTATTGAGATTGAAGACTTGCAGAGGATTTCTTCATCAGGAACACTGGAGTGCTTACTTTTCACAACTGCAGCCGAAGTAAGGTTTGCTGTGGATGTCAGCAACAGCAGCGCCGTCTGTGATTCAGACCTGGTGGCTCTGGATTAGGAAATTCTGCTTATTTCACATGCAGAAGCATGTGTCAGAAGCACTATGATGAAATAATACAGCAGAATGAGTCAGGGGGACAAATTAAATATGCAGGTCTTCACTTCCTTGCATCACAGTAGCAGCAGTTAAAATACTTGTTGTCCCCCCGCACCCCATACTACTCGTTTTTCAAGCCAGCAAAGAAACAAGCCTTTCTGTACTGGAAATACTTGCGGAGAACTGCTTTTTAGGAGTAGCTATGTGCTAGTTCATGCTGGGGAGCGGGCTCAGTGGGGACCTGCCACACACAGGATTTGGGGTGTTCCCTGGGCTGCTCTAACCTACGCTGGATCCCAGATGTGCCCAGAAAGATGCAGCCGTCTCTGTGGAGCCCCCTTCTTGGGCTGTTAGGCTGAAAGGATGTCATGTTTGAGCAAACACTGCGCAGAGATGAGCGAGTCTGCTTTCCAAAGCTTTAACTTCTTGAGGGCTTGCAGATCGTACTTAGACTCAGTTTGCTTCTCTGCTGCTCAGTTAACAAAACCTGCTTTGTCAAATGCTGTAAGGATAATGAAAACATTTTCTGTGCTTTCAGGAAGCTACATTTCCATAGCAGAAATACTTTTAGAAAATAGATTTCTGAAGTAGCATAAAAAAAATTCTAAGTCTACATTCAGGCAATATTAACTAGCTTCCACACCAAATGATGGATTTTCTCTGAAGCAGGCTTGCTTTTTAAATGTTGGGCTGCATTTAAACTTTCTAGCTTTAGCTGTTTTAGGTTGTCCAAGCAGAGTTTCTGATCGGCTGCATCTTGTAGCTGCAAACTTGGAAATTCACTTTTCAAAAGAAGTGTTCTCTTTCTTACCTCTCTCAAAGTCAGTTCAATCTGAAAACAATCATCAGCATTTTCAGTAAAAAGAAAATTATTTTAAGAGAGAAAAGGGGACTTTACAAACACCATACTAGAATTATCTCCATATTAGAAATTAGGAGTGGACATAGTCTGTTTACAAAAAGAGCCCATTCAGGGGAGGGGGAAACATCTGAAGGTTATTTAGGAGCTTTCATCTGTCTTTAGGTGCAGATCACACCGCAGAGGTGGCAGCCAGGCTTAACTCCATGTGCCGCAGAGCAACAGGAGAAGCCATGCTGTCCCTCCACAGCAAACCAACCTCCACCACTTTTTTTTCCAAACGTTACTACAAACCTAAGGAAAGTTGGATCCCGAAGTAGTTCAGCTCTGAAAACAATTATAGTTTTAAAATTACAGGAAAAAAAACCTGGTCGTAATTATGCAACACCGCTTTGTGTTTATGCAGAACCGCTTTATTGTGCAACACCGCTTTGTGTTTATGAGAATATCTGCACAGCCTAAAAGCTTTCTGTTTGGTCAAATCTTCCAGGAAGTCCATTTCCAGTGCTCCCAGGAACCGTGCCGTTCACAAGACCATGCTAGGAAGGGACGACTCTGGAAATGTGTGTTTTGCTCTGAATCAATTACTCTGCTAGGTAGCATTTCTGACTGCAGACTGACAAGGCTCCAACTCCAACCCTACTAGGCACTAACAGAGATCATTTCTGTAAACGTTTTTCTATTTAATGACACAAGTACTCATTAAAAATACCGCTTCTCTTATTGCAATTTATGAGGACAATGTAACCAGAAAGAACGAGGAATTTTGCTTTCAGCAACCCAGTAGGTGCCCACTGGAAAAAAATACGTCAAATGTGTTCTAAGTTCCACTAAGATACCAGAGGAAAATAAACAGGTGATATGTGAATATGGGTAGTTATCAGGAAGATATATCTTAATGGTTCTATCATTTCAGCTATTTGACTACCTCCGACCAAAGGTAGCTAAGCATATATCTTTCTTTCTGATGTTATATTCGTTCCCTAAAACAAACGAATTTGTTGCTGTTGCCTGTACCATTTTGTTTGACTGTACCTGCTTTATCAGTCGGTGTTTCGAATCATAAACACGCCACATAATGCAGTGCCATATATTCTGATAAGGAAATGCACTTGGAAC